CTGTGAGAGAGTGGCTGTCAAAATACCTGCGCATTCTCGGGACGGCAGAAAAAGAAGAAGAAAACGAAAATGCGGTGTTGCCATTTACCCATGTCCAACTGGTGATAATGGGTCGTCGGTAATGATGTGTTTATTTAGCTACAGCAAGGAAAAAACCCGCCTCTATCGAGATTAATAAGACATGACTAGACGGATAGATTGAAAGAGGGCCTCTTTTTTTTAAGCCTATGTAGATGACTACCGCTCTTTCTGCACTATGTAGATGACTACCGCTCTTTCTGCCCACTGTGACTCTTTGATTTCTCAAAAAAAAAAAAAAAAATTCTTCAACTCCTTCTTTCTTGACCGACTTTATCGCTCTGCGGGCCTGAAAGGTCTCGTGATGGTGTTGCTAGCGGAGGGTTCGGCATACCGATTTCGGCGAGAATGCCTATAAAAAGGTGTAGTCACAAGAGAGGGCGTACAGTTACCGTTGTCGCTGCAAGTACAAACCAAATATCTAATCCCCATCTTCGTATTCTTCATGATTTGTGCGCATTCTGTTGGGGGCGAGAACCCTGCTTGTCGTGCATGTGAGTCGGATCCGGGGTTCGAGTGGTACACGAGAGGCCTCTCTGTCTCGTCCATTTCCTCTTTCATCTTGGCTTGTGTAAATAGCGCCCATACTATCGGGAGCCTGTTGAACCTCTGTGTGATTTGTAAACGCCGTCTCGTGTTGTTGTCCTCTTGCTTTCTTTGTGCCTGCCCAGCTTTTTGCTCCCAAAACACCAAACTTTCTTCTTCCTTTTTTTTTTTTTTTTGACTTGAGGCTTGCAAAACTCAAAGCCGCCAGTCATTTTTGTATCATCGGGCGCGTAGTAATACACTACCATCATAACAAGTAATGCTCGCTGCGTAGAAAGGGAATGTGCGGCTTGCGCCGGGCGCCAAGGTGCAGCAAACGTCTGCAGGTCATGAGCACTGCTTGAGACAAAGAAGAGATGGCATAGTGAATCTGTTTCGAACCTTGGTTTTTTTTTTTCTACTGATGCAAACAGCTTTTACAATATCAACTTTTTTCATTTTTTATCATTTCATTCTTGTTCCAAGTTTCTTTCTCCTTTCCAGCCTCTTCTTCTTCTTTTTCATCTTCGCAAAAGACTACCTACATACGACCAAGACTTTCGGCCAATCACGGCGCTGCAGGTTACCCAAATTGGCCAAAACTGCGACACCAAGGCCCCACCTCGGCGCCAAAGCATCCAGCATCATCCCATCCACAACCAGTCGTCCAACTATTGTCCCCTGATTTCATTCTTTTGTTTTTTTTTTGTTTTTTTTTCTACTTTTATTTTCTTGCTTTACATACCTCAACGGAATCCAATTAACTCCCACATGACATTTTTCTCTAGCTCTGGACTCTATATTTGAACCTGGCTGTGGAGCCAGAACCCCCCCCCCCCCAGACCGACATTTGTCCAACAAGGCGCTCTTGGCCTGTCGATTCATCTATACATTGCGCTTGTCGTAACATGCAGCGCCGCATCTTTTTATCTTTCTCACACGCAAACTGCTCTCGTTCATGCCAGACAGCTAGCCAGCCACATCTCGTTTGTGCTTCCTCCACCACGACATGAGACTCCCCAGTGCCGGACTCCGCCCCAAAGGTAATTCGTCCTCGACTCTTGGTGACTGCCCTTTTTACCACACGTCCGGCCCGCGTCCAGCCTTTGGGCGCTTCCCAATACTTGATGTCCTGCAGAGATGATATGACGTTTCACTGTGTGCATTCGATTGTGACCTCTCCTTTTGCCCTGTTTCCCCCCCCCCCCCCTCTTCCTTCTCCTTCCTCTTTCACCTTTTCGACTTGTGCTTCACAGTGTGCTTGCCTTTTTTTTTCCCTACTACAAACTTGTATTTCCTTTGTCTTACGCTGCCTTGTGAACCAGACACACGGGTTATTTGCGCTGGCCAGCAAATCGACATTCGTTTTTTTTTTCCCTCTTGATATTATTACGCGCCCACCACACATCATAACCACGTTTTTGAGGCTCGACACATTCACTGCCCTTTTCATCAGTCTTCTTCTTGGCCGATCTGCGGCTGGCCGCAGCTTCACACATCATAGCCATATCTTGCTGTCCTCCCAAGAAAAACGTTCAATCAGCTATTTGCGACCAGTAATCTTCTAGGGCAGGCCACCTCCTACGACAGACCATCTCCTACGACAGACCATCTACCACGACCAGCCCGTCTAATACGTACGACTAAGCCATCTACTATAACCAGCTGTCGAATACGACCCAGTCGTCTACTACAACCAGTCATCAAATCCCATCAGCCTTCCGTAACATCTCACAGCTTCTACCCCAAAGAAATCTACATAGACAGACACACACACACACACAACCTCTACGATGCACCGACGTCGAGCCGTCGTGCTCGCACTCCTCGCCGCCGCGGCGCGCAGCGTCCACGCCATACCCAAAGAATTCTACACCAGCAGCAGCAACGGCGTCTGCCCGAAAAGCGACCTCGAGGCCTGCCCGTCCTCCCTGCCGTCGGGCTTCTGCTGCCCCTCGGGCCAGCAGTGCCTGCCGCTCGCCGGGCTGACCACGGCGCTCTGCTGCCCCTCGGGCCGGTCCTGCGAAAAGATTTCGCCCATTACGTGCGACTTGAAGCTGCAGAACCCCAAAGAAAACCCCGACGCCACGGTAATCACCTCGGTCTTTGACGTCAATCTTGAAATTTGCGACAATGGCTGCTGCCCCTTTGGGTACTCGTGCGCCAACCGCGTGTGCGTCCGCAACGCCAGCCAGTCGAAGAAACCGGGCGAGGAGAGCGGCAAGTCATCGTCGACGACGACTGCGTCGGCGTCCTCGACAGCCGAAGCAACGTCAACCGCGTCGACAACGGCCACAGACGTTGCCACGTTGTCGCAGACCACCACCGCCACCGCAACCGTCACCTCAACACCGGATAGCAGCAGCAGCGACGCCGACGCCGGCAAGGGCATCAAGTCCAAGACCATGTCCATCATTGGCGGCGTCGTCGGCGCCACCCTCGTGCTTCTCATCCTCATCGTCGTCGGCATCCTGTGCGTGCGCCGCCGCCGCAAGCGCGCCGCCGGCGCCAACCCCCTCGGCGAAAAGACGGGCTACCACCGCGCCGGCTCCACCACTTCCTCGGCCCGCGCCCGCGGCCTCAACATTTCCGAGCCCATTCTTCAAGAAAATTCGTACCGCAGCGACTTTATCCTCAAATCTCCCTCGGCCGCCTCCTCCATTAGCCAGCGGGCCGTCAACACCCGGTGGAGCGGCGGCGGCATCGGCGTCGCCCCCCCGCGCATCCCCACTCCGCCGGTCTCCAACCGGCAGCAGCAGCAGCAGCAGCAGCGCCGGGAGGACCCAGAGTTTCCGAACCCATTCGCGTCGCCGAACCCGTCAATGGCCGAGGACCGGCGCTACTCACTCGCATCGTCGGACATGTTTGACGAGACGGGCCTGAGGACGGGCCAAGTCGTCACCGGCAAGCCCGCGCCTATTCGCAACATGCGACCCTCGAGCCGGCGCATCTCGCGGGAGCCGCAACATCTCCACGCCATGGCCGACGAGAGAATCGACGTCTTTTCCGATGAATACGCGGTGCCTCAGCAGCAGCAACAGCAGCAGCAGCAGTATTCATATCAGCAGCGGGACGCGTATGGGGGCGCCAAGGATCGCATGACGAAAATGACTACCTTTTCGCAATTAATGGACAAGGCTGACCTCGGGGATCTGTACCGCGGGAAGCGCTATGTGCCCGGTTCGCCGCCGCGTCTTTGAAAAATGAAGTCATGTTTTTTTTTGCCAATCATTCTTCTACGTCTCTTGCATAATTCACCAAATCTCATGATAGACATGTACGTTTTCATGGCGAGGGAACAGCATCATCTGTTTTTTTTTCTTTTTTACCCTGTATTTTGTTTTGCCCTCTGCTGGAGGGATTTCAGCCTTGTTTCGGTATTCTTTGATTCCTTTCTTTCAGGCTTGACGGGAGAGTTTGCACACAACATCACCTAGATAATTGTACTCCTCTGGATATCTTCCTTAGTCTTTAACGACTATTAGACATAAATATCAAAATATTAAAGATTCAGCCAGGTTGACTCTGCTATCATGTACATGTATCCGCTCCAGATCCTCCACAATGACAAATGATGCTGGCTTACGGAATTCAGACAAGATGCGGAATGATGATCTAAAAAGTCGCTCGTATCGCTCGCTATCCAAAGATTCATGACAATGCACAAACACAGTCGCATCTATTGTGTATCCAACATAGCACACACACACTAGGCCACTTCGCTCGACTGCAAATTTACATGACCACGCATTTCCTATGGTCCTTCTGTGGAAGCTGTGTTGGAACATCTGTCCAGCCCGAGTCTTCCAGGCTAGAGCCTGTTGGCTGAGGTTCCTTGGACTTTTTCGACTTGGGCCTCCACCCGCGCTTTTTGGCGTCAACGATATTCTTTGCGGCTCCCCGCTCTGCTCTACTAGGTCTCCGGCTCACGCGCATCGGTGATCTCGTTGAGCCTGCTGGTGGCGAGGACAACCATGAAGGCAGATGCCGGGCCTTTTGTGATGGGCCATTGCCGCCTTCGTTTGGCAGCGACGGAAATAGCGATTGTACAGGCTGGCTGGGTTGGCCTGGGTTGAAAGGAATAGACTGTCGCGGTCGTCGAGGCACTGGTGCCAGTATTTGTGTCTCCCCGGGAGAGTCAAAGGCACCGCTCACACCCTTTGGCGTGCTGATGATGAGCGGCTGGTCTTCGTCAGGATTGACTAGTGGCACATCGGGCGCTGACTCGTATTCGACAGTGTGATGCTTGGTGGGTGGTTCCATCAAGCTTGCTCGGCTACCTGGGACAGACCATTGGTTAAGGATTCCGCCAGAAAGACGTCGCGGAGCGCCCATGCTTATTCTCTTATTCAGTCGGTTCATTTGGTCACTGCTGGGAGCTGGTGGAAATGAACTCGACGCCAATTCAGCCATGGTTGCGTCTGATGCTGGCGCCGAGTACGCTGCAATGTCGTGGTGAACAGGTGGCGGCACTTGCTGCAATTGCATGGGGCCTACCAAAGGCCAAGTTTGCGCGTTGGAGAGTCTGCGATTATGCACCTGTTCTTCGCCGACTGAAGAGAGCTGCGCTGGAGGAATTGCGACTGACAAACCTAAGTTGTCAATTTGTCCGTGATTTGGCTGAATCTGCTCAACTGCATCTGAGTATTCAAGGGTTGCGGGCGTAGTCGCTACAGTTGCCGTTTCAGATTGGCGCAAATCTGGAGAGACAGATTCCATTTGTGGCTCCTCTGATACACCCCTAGCCGATTGGCCCTCCGGCGCAGGCGAGGCAGATGGAGAAACTCCGTACAAATCATCTGGTACCGATTCGGCATCTACTGGCATGGCCAAAGGCGTTGATAGCGGGCGCGGGATTTCCTCAAATCGCTGCATGCTACTATACGTTGTTTCGTCGCTTGCGGTTCGTTGGCGAAGAGGGATGCTGACCCCATGCATCTGGGCTTGCTGGGCACGAGGAGAAAACTGACCAGGCCATGCTGGAGTTTGCGTTGACACAAGGGCAGTAAACGGTCGTACCGGTGACGGCAGCGGTGCAACGGCTGGCCGTCGGAGGAATGCGGGCATAGTGCCAGGGTCGTCTGGCTGATATGGAGGTGGCGGAGGAACCCAATTATCAGCATCGCTCTCGTGGGGAAGTTCGCCTCGCCCGTCAGCGCGGCGATAGACGACTCTCTGGCCATCAGCGGTGCGTGGGTTCAGTCGACGGTTTACCGCAGCGGCCGTGGCAGCACGTCGAAGGGTTGTCGTGGAACGAGGACTTGCATGAGAGTACGGGGCATCCAACGCCTCCATTTCGTCCGTGGGAACGAAAGATTCTTCCTCATCTCCCTCGGTCCTGTTCACAGGGTTGACTCCGACCTTTCTTGGCACCAGGGGGTCATCATCCTCTGTTGACTGTTTGGGTGGCATGGGTGGCATGAGATGCTGGCTTGCGGTGGTGGCGGCGCGGAGCAACTGATTGCGGCTAGAGCGGTTCTGTACCACGGTGCGCCGGCGCACGATGGCTACTTCCGTCTCAATATCGCGTTGTTCTTCTTGCAAGACCTCGGCGTCATCTGTCCCGACGTCGATGGTGACTTCACGTTTGGATCCGCTTCTCGGGCCATACTCGAAATCTAGAATACACACACGACCGCCATCTACAAAGTCAATGTCCTCTTCATCGGTCACCAGTAGAGAGGGCGATATCCCTCGCGAGGTAACCAGCAAGCGATCTTTTGCAGACGAGTCGGCAAAACCTTCTACCCATTTGACAGTGCTGATGGCAGTCAGATCAGCGACCTTTGTACCTGCCATGAAGTGATTGCGAGTCTTGTCGCACAGAAGCTGCCATTGAGGGAGACTGGTGTTTTCATCTTGACCACGAGATGAGTTGTGACGCGAGAGGTTACTTTGTTGGCTGCTGTTCCTGCCGGGTCCGGAGGAGCCTTCGGAAATACTGAGCTGTTGTTCCGGAACGGCATCCAAATCTTCGGGTACGCCATATACCCAAACTTGGCTACCGTGAAAGCCAGCTGCCACTAAATGGCCATGGTAGGCAGCAGCTGGTAGGGTGCTTGGAAGAAGTTTGGACTGCGAGGAAGGTTGTGAAACTGGGCCGGTAAAGTAGGTGGTGCCGTTGCGGAGGTCGTCGATGCGAATGGCGCGAAACGCCTCGAAGCTGCGGTCGTAGGCAAAAGCCCAGCAAGCCTCCTCCTGGGTGCCATTCTGTAGCAGAACAGCATGGCTGCAATCATGACTAGTGTTGGGAAAGAGGATCGAAGTCGTCCACATGGCGCTGAGGTTATCCTGGTCGGCGACAGTGGCTGGGTCATAGTAAGGAGCGGTCAAGACGACCGTGTTGGGAGGATTCGAGTGTATGGTGGTGCCCAGAATCTGTGTGCCGTCAAAGGAAAATGCAAGGTTGTCGACAGGATCACATTTGACCTGGCGGCGCTCGGTTGACATGGCATTGGGATGTAGGGAGGAGACTTCGATTCCGGTATCGTAGGCAGCGGCCATGACGGAGCCGCAAGAAGAGATGGCAATGGTGCGAGGATTGTTGTCGAGAATAATAGCATGCTTTCTTTTAGGTGGGCTCACTTGGAGGTCATAGAGGTTAACCTGCATTTCGGTGGAGAGTACGACGAGAGTGGCTGCATCGTCGGTGATGGTGGCAGATACGGGACGCCGTTGGATTTTGAGTTCGCGCTTGACTTGAAGATCGGGGCCACTGACGGCGAGGACGTAGATTCGAGATGAATTGTAGGCGAGAAGGTAATGGCCCTTGGAGGAGGCACTAAACTGCATGCCCTCGCCACCGGGACAGGAGGAGGAGCTATTCGAGTTTGAAACCAGCTTGACGAGGGTTTCGGAAGGGCGATTGTAGGCATTGAAGAGATTGCGCTTGACCTCACGGGCAAAGAGGCGGCGGAATCTAGGCAAGTCATCATCTTGAACCTTGGCAAAGCCAGCGTGGGCGGTGGCGTAGGAGGCGCATCGTTGAAGCTGGCTTGCGTAGAGGTCGGCTTGCTGGGAGACGCGACGGGTCTGCTGGTTGAGGACAATGAGGGAGGCGAAGCAGTCGGGGTCGGCAACAAGGAGGATTCTGCCGGAATCATTAGTGGCTAGATTAAACGGATCGTTGAGATGTGATTCGAATGTGCGTACTGCGAGATGATTTCGTCGGGGAGCCGCTCAAATGCTGACGGTGAGACGTTGCTACACAGAGCGGCGGCATCAGGTTTGGGGGTCGACGGCGGGGAGGGCGATGTCATGGGCGCAGCGTCGGCCATGCTGGCGGCAACGTTTGGAGACGAAGAGGCCGCGGCCGGTTAGACTTTGGGCGACATGGAGGAGTCTTGAAAGGATGTCAAGATTCGCAACCTGTTTTGGAAGTGATTTCGACTATCTTTTGAAGGAAACAAGGACAAACGAAAGGCTTGAGAGGAGGAGTAGGACGAGGTCAGCGGTGCCATGTGCCTTGGCAGTGACAAACGGCGGCTGTGCCTGTCAGACCACCGTTATAGGGGGGAGGCTTAATCCGTACCAGAGGTACCTAGGTAGGTATGGCGGGTACTTGCCGTTGGGTGCCATATTATTTTGGGGCAAAACTTGATAGTTAATTAGAGCTGTAATAATAATAGGCGATTAATGAATTACTCTACGAAAGACCTAGAGTGACATGGATCATTTTACTGATGAACCATGGTCGCACCATAGGTAGGCCATGGTTGCATCGTCACATAGCATCCATCCCCAACATCCATCAGCCATCGCTACCACCATGCTTGCATGCCACCCAAGCTCGCCCTTCTAACTAATCCGTAGGCTCGGCGACTTTTTCATCTTGAGCGACCCTGTCGATTATTTTTACCACGCAGTGTGTATCTCGGGCAGCAATACGCAACATTTGAGATGATTCTGACAAGGCCGTGAGTTGGTCAGGATTCTAAATACTCCGTTGTCACGCCAAAAAACACAGACGCCTGTTCCTTGACGTTCAGTTATTGTCCCTCATATGTGGCATCCGTACATATCATGGACAGAACATACCTCAGACGAGGCCCGAGCAAAGAAAGACATGGCAGCCTCACCACGCTGGCCTGAATCATGCGTCAAACACGGAGGCAGACCGGACGAATTCCGCCTCACCGCGCATCCATCTCGCCCAATGCTTGGCGGCGTCGACGTCCGCTGTCGTCAGCGTCAACACGTTGTGTGATGCAATTTTGCTCTGATTTTTTTTGGGCTAGATAGCTTGGCCATCTTGCCGCGAATGCAGAATCCCCGCATCTGCCAACCCTCCACCCGTACAAAAAACTTACAAGTGCCGAGTTCATCTATAATGCCAAGGTCAAGTTCCGCGCGGCCATAGATTGCGACGACGACGTGGCGTTTGGAATCACTTGCGCGCCGCAGCATCTACATCTGCCAAGAATCGTCCGATAAGAACGGGCTATTCACCAATGCCATGGATAATCAACAAGTAGACCATGTGCTACTAAAAACC